GCAGACAAAGTATTTCTGATTTAAAGAAAACAATGTGAAAGCATGTCTGAAACATCATTTTCTCATTATAATGCTAACCAAACGTTACTTTTCAAGCAAGGTATTCAGGTAACTATCACTTCTCTGTCTCAAAGTAACCTTAGGACACCTCTTTGATGATCGCTATCGAAGGTATCATTTACCACTAAGGGAGGGGAAACCAAATCTTCCAAGATTCAGCAGCCAAGTACAAGTAAAAAGGCAGATGTGTTCATATCACTCTTCTTGCCCATCTACCAATCATATGGGAGGAAGGAGACATGACCTAAATAAAAGACTATTTGAAGAGAAAAGACATAAAAATACAGGAGGCTTGGCAACAGAAACCTAGACAGTATACAAATCAGAAGCTTAGTTCTGTCAAAAATCAATTAAAACATACAAAGAACAAAATGTTAGATTCTGCACAAAGGAATCCCTGAATTGCTTTTAGATGTACAAAATGTTAGATTCTGCACAAAGGAAACATCTAAAAGCAATTCAGGGATAAGGAGACCCTTTTATTTTCTCCTTATTTCTTTGGTGCAGATCATTCAAAACATGATAAAACTGCAACAGAGAAATAATAGTTATTTTGGCTTAGCTTATGCTGCAAGACATAATTAGAAGTCTAAATATTACTTGCATTGATTTTTCCAACATAGATTTTGGCATACCATAAATTATCAAACAACTTATTTAAATGAATTTCCATTTAAATAGAATTTTTAAATTTCCATTTTAAAGTTGTTGCTGATAGTGTCATTGACTTTGCAGTAACATGCTCACCCCTTTTGGATCCTTGGCAAAGTAACTCCCACTGGATCCTTGAGAGATTCTTTCTGGAAAAACTCCACACTCTATAGCTTGTTCTGCCCTCAGAATAATTTCTGCAAACTCTGGATCATCTAAAAATATATTCATATCAGCAGTATGTCCTGTATGCCCTGAAAAATAAGAAAACAAGCACTCCTAAGTGTAATTTGTACTAGGAATTGACAACAACATAAATAAACACATTGAAAAGCTAACAGCCTTCCCTGCTAATGTCCATTCAATAGCAGGCTGAAAAATCCGGTCCATTAAATCAGTGCAAGTTTTCCCACTGATTTACCCTTGTCTAATCAACCTTTTGTTTAAAGTAAATCAGCCGAATCTCCAACAACTAATTTGAGACTACCGCTGCAAAGCGTTTATACTTTTCAAGGATATTTTTCATTTTTATTTACCTAAGGAAGTCTGTAAGAAAAAAAATCCCTTCAAAACCACATCTGTAAAAAAAGCGCTAGAGATTTTACATACTGTTTTTATTAAGATTTTTGTGTCCTTTTGTAGTCTCTACAAAATGCTACACGAAAGTAAACTGTCCATTACCCACTACCTAGTAGAATGGTATAATACCATTCATTTAACAGCTTGGCTAACACGTTCATTAGCTGCTAAGACACAACAATGTTATTCACAGAACAATCCGTTACATGTAGCACTGCCAAGTGGCATTAATATCCCAGTGAAGAACTGCATGCCATCACCATTCCAACATTAAAACACTATCAACTACTTGTAGAATTTCTTTACATACCGACCAAAAGATCAACTCTATGCAGGCATTTATGGAAACTCTAGGACTCTATGCAAACATTTAGAAAGATAACTAGAAGAGAAGTTGCCAGGATTTAATACTTCTATGGTTCTTTAAACTTTTTCAAACTATTTATTTACAAGTTCTGAAAATGTAGATTTTTCTACCTTACTTTTAAGGCTAGGATTATTCCACAATCTTACTGCATGGATTTTAATGAGTCTGTGCATTAGGGCTCATTTCTGCACTAAGAAACAGCGACCTTATTCTAAATTAAACATTCACAGGTAAAGTTGCCTCGTTCCCATTTCAGCACCTGAAGAAATGCAAGATAAAATAAGACAGATGCCGTCTTCTGGAATGCCAACTGACACAGAATCCATTCAGAAAAGATACTCCTAAACAGTTTGTGGATAGCCAAATAAATAAAAAACACTCTTGATGTTTTGGAACAACTTTTTGTAGCACAGTACATTCTTTGAAGTTTTCGAGAACATTACCACTTGCTTGCATGAACCACTCACAAATAATAACATAGTTTCCAAACAAAAACAACTAAAAAGCATAAAACATAGGAAAACCTTCTAAGTTGGCAACTGGAAGAGAAACCTTAAAACTAATAAGTTCATTCTTAAGGATCAACAACTACAACTCATTGGATCAGACTCTCTTAGACTGCTTGGCCAATATTTCTGCGATGAACTACAGTTTAATTTTAAGATTTCTATTAGGACTGTCAGGGACAATCTATAAATTGCATTTCATAAAATCAGCCACGAAGAGAAAGGAAAAGATATCTAAGATTCCCCTGTAAATGTGCTTAAGTAAGCTAGGGTAATAACCTAAAAACCCACAATACCCTGATTTCTAAGGAAAAAGTCACTTTGAATCAGTGGGTCTTATTCCCTATTCAAGCCTCAACTATCTCTATACAAGAAACATCACATCATACAGCTGAGCTGCAACTATTATTTTTGTCAGTGAAGGAAAAATCAGGGTTGTGCACTATACGGTTACCAAACAAAATCCAACATCCGTATCAAGTTGCTCTTCACATTAGTCTTCCAGATGAAGACGACCTACAGATGAACTTTCTATCACAGGGATTGAAGCTGTCTATGCAGAAGACAACTTTCTCAGAGGTCAGTTTTTAATTTCTGCATGTTCATTCTAGAATCTAAAACCACAAGAAGTCTCACTGCCTTGAGGAAATTCTTCAACCATGTCTCTCTAACATAAAAAGTAACTGCAGGAAAAATATATTCAATCAAAAATCCAGTTAAAAACAAACAAACTGCATTATGTTGTAGGCTAAGGGAAGGAAAAAAATTTTTTTTTAAATTAGTTTGTTCATTATCGCTACTGCTCTACTAGAAAGCCTTCTGTTACCACAGTGATGTGGCCATACAAAAATGTATAGGCTGAAAACAAGGGAACAGGCAGTTTTAAGAAATTTCCTTTCTCTTTATTAACACTATCCATATGAAAATAAGCCATTTTAATTGAAGCTAGTATTTGCTGAATACAGCAGAGTTTTCTGAGTTGGTTTCTTCTCCAAAACTTATTTTAATCAAGTTTTCCACTGTGAAAGCATATTATGGTCACAACTTAACCCCAGAGCAGTCTCTAAACTTCCAAATATAACTAATCAAGGTTTTTTTGTGCAACCGCTCGTGAAAACTACGCTTCTCATTAAACTCCTGCTCAGGAGACCAGGGCTCACACACACACACGCAGTCTAACTACCAAGCTTGGTAACTTTTTTCAAATTCATTTGGACAAGACCTAAGGCTGTGAAGCTCCTATACTTGAATGAGGACAAGCCAAAGAAGATACGAATGCGTGTAGACTCCTCAATCTGTTTTTCCATCAAGCTAAACTAATAGACTTTGCAAGAGTAACATGTATGAACGCTTTCAATACTAAACTAGCTTTATACTATTTTAACATTGACATAATTAAAGGTAGTCCCTTGAACCAATTCCATTTTTTTTTCTACACAGAGTTTCATATTCTGACTATAATTCCATTATGAAAACACTCTCCATGTCACAAGAACATGCATGAATAATATCTGTTGCACATTTGTTCCACCTGACCGGTAGAACAATACTGCACCTTCAAGTGTTAGACATACAGAAAAGGTAAGGACAAGGACACGAGCAAGTGGTGAGATGCTGCAATCAGTCACAGTTCTGAGATTTTCTTTTACACTCTTAGGGCCGATTCCAAGAAGTACTCTGCATTCACCATCTTAATTGCCCCAGTAGTGCAAGACCCACAGCTCTGATCTCCACTCTGAAGCTTTACCTATAACGTTTTGCTAGAAGCACCGTCTCATTAACACATCTTCAGTCTTTTGGGAACAAGACAGGAGAACTCAAACGTTTTACAGCATGTTTGCATTACAGGTCTGGTCTACGCTTGGGACCGTTGGTTAAAGAATGAGATTTTTTTTTTTCCTTACAATTAAACACAGTACGCTAGCAAAAGCTCTCTATGGCTACTAAAAAAAGTTACTAGCATAATTTATTTTGCTGAAATAGATGGGGAGGGTTGGTTTGGATCTTTTTTTAATACACTATTGTTTCAAAAGGAACAATTTTTACCAGTGTCTTGCAAGAAATCCCATGGTATAATTACAACAGCAAACACTATTAAGTGATAGAAGTCCACAGAATTCTGTCACCAAACCTTTCCTAGATGTACATCTATTTACAAAGTCGCACAGAATCAGAAAGCTTGGAAGTCTAAAGAAAAAAAAGTAAGCCATAGATATTGTGTAGTTTATAATCTTGCCCATATATTTAGAATTAAATATGCGCCCCACTTATGCTTCTTTTCAAATTCATAACTAAGTTCTTGCATTTCTGAATTTTCACATCACATTTCTTTCTTTCTTCAAGACTGGATTTTGAAACATGGAAAGCAAATAAATTTTTATGAAAACCAAAAACGTGACAGAGGAGTCCACATCTAAAATTCTTCATACACGTGATGGTACACAGAAGCAAACAGAAGACTTGGAGCAAAGAACAGAAACAGAGTAAAATCTTTTTACAGGATGAAAAGATGGGGGTTGCAAGCAAGTAATTGCTGGAATAAGCGAGACAAAAAGAAATCTTGACAGAGTTTGCCAAGTGTTCAGGAAGCAGTAGCCAGTCCCACCACAGAACACAGCCTGTAAAACATGCAAAGCCAGAAGTTTCAAAAAAAAAGTGACAGAAACAAACAAAGCAAAGCCCCACAAAACAGAAGACAGAACAAGGAGAAGTAACAGTGGAGACACTCATGAAGATGTAAATGAGTTTGTCGAGCTCTGCACATAAAGACAAAGCATTTCAATTTCGAGCAATTTCCCAGCACTTTCCCTTCAAAGACCATTAGTCAGCGAGTCCATATGCCGAGCACCGGCAATACACCTCTGTCCCTCGCCGACACTGTGCTTTCCGATGAACGCTCGTAATAAGCTCCCTACGAGACGGGACACCTCAGGGAGGCCTCGGGCACGGCACATCAACCCTACTTTAGTCCCCACAGGTACTTCTCTAGCCTCGCTGGCCGGACAGAGCAGGGGAGACGCCCGGGCAGCCTAACCCGGGCAAACCC